TTCCTCCTTGGACGGGAATTCAATCTTTGAATCCCACTGGACTCTTTTGATTGAATTCTCATTTCCAATAGGATTCTTCAGCCTTCAATCTCAGCCCTCCAAAATCAAAATCAAATAAAATAAAAAACTAGATAATTAGAGAAGATAAATCAGCAGATATTATAGGATAAATAATAATAAAAAAAAATATCAGATATATAATTAGATAAGTAAAAATACAAAAATGAATAAAATAAAAAAGATAAAAATATATATATATATACATAAATAATAAAATACACATAAATATTAACAAAAAATAAATAAATATATACATATATTAATACATAATAATAATAATAAATAATACAATACATAAAATACAAAAGAAGAAGAAAAGAGAAAAAAAAATACAAGATAAAATTGAATTGGGCTTACCCATTTGGGCCAGGCCCAATTGATCTGGACCGAACCCAATTGGGTGTCTACAATGGGAAAACACTTATTTACAGTTGATTATAATATTGTAATCTGTATATTTATGTTTGTATCTCTAGAACTAGGGACAAAAAATTAGGATAGACAATCCCTCAATTATAGGATCAATTTTAGGAAGATTTAGTTTCTTAGTTTACGCACTAATTAGTTGTATATAAACCTAAGGTGCTTGTATAATTCTTTATGAGCAGTTTTTCAATATACATTCAATTTTACTCTTAATTTTTCACATAGTTTTATTTCTTAGTTTTTCCACATAGTATCAGAACGATCACCAATCGGACAGGGGTTAACTACTACACCATGGAAGCCACCTCTAGAATCATGCGGGAGCTAAATGCTACACGGTGTGAGCTACCTCTAAAATCCCAACGTCTAGTGTGATCTTCTGATTTGTGTGTGCTTTGTGTTGATCCTATCCAACGTTTAGTGTAATTCGGTGGATCTGTGTGCTTTGTGTAATCCCACATTGAGATAATTTGAGGTTTTGCTATAATATATATGTTGAGATCTAAACCCAAACTTGTGAGGCGCCTTTTGTGGGACAAAACCATGAGACCTTCAGTCAAAGCAGACAATATCTCATAAGTTGGGTATGGATCTCCACAAATGGTATTAAAGCCAAATCTTGTTAAATTTTTTAGTATTATTTTTTCCTTCTTTGGCCTTCATTGCCTAGAATTGTCTGCGGTTAAACTTTTGCTATCAAGACTTATTTCAATCTTGAAAAATATAACCATGCCAAAGATTGCAAAATCTACCACTACTACCCGATTTGAGGAAGTGACAATTGGTAAAACCATCGGAATACTACAGAAGTCTCAAAAACAAAAAAAGTTGGATAGAGAAGAGATAGAGTAATTAAGAAGCATATTGAAAACTCTTGAAAAGCCTACTGGGGTATGTTCTTTGGGTAAGATCTCTAGCTCAAGTAAAGCTTCTGGTTCTCATGGATTAAATGTCTCGGTTAAACCTATTACGAGTTTTTGGGTCATTGATGCATTCCTTACAGAATTTTAGGACATTTACCCTATGCCTTAGTATTATTGTTGTTGCAGATGATTCACTTACTACAATGGCAGGATTAGGAGATATTCAAATTAATCCCTCGTTTATTCTTAAAAATATTTTTCATTTTCTTGGATTGTCTACTAATCTAATATCTATACAAAAACTTACCAGAGACATGAATTGCAAAGTGACTTTTTATCCCTCCTATTATGAATTTCAAGATTAGAGTTCGGGGAAGAGGATTGAACTTACTAAGGACAAGGATGGACTATACTATCTTAAGACATCAAATAACACAAGTAATATTAAGAATAGTTTACCTTTGTCATTTTTTTCTGAAAAATCTCCCAATAAAGATAAAATTTGGCTTTATCATTTTTGTCTTGGACATCCTTCTTTTGGAACTTTGAAAAACATGTTTCCTTCTTTGTTCAAAGGATTAAATGCTGAAAATTTTCATTGTGATATTTGAGAAATTGCAAAGCATAGACGTGTGTCTTTTCCAGTTAGCAATAAAAGAAGTTCTACTCTTTTTACTTGATTTATGTGACATATAGGGTCCTTTTACAATTCCTAATATTTCTAGTGCAAGGTGGTTTGTTTCTTTCATAGATGATTGCACTAGGGTCTCTTGGATATTTTTACTTAAAACAAATCAGATGTGAATAATGTGTTTTTAAGCTTCCAAAACATAATCCAAAATCAATTTGGAGTGAAAATCAAAAGATTTAGGTCTGACAATGCAAGAGACTATTTCAACCAGAGTTTATCTACCTATTTCCAAAATGACGGGATTATCCATAAGTCATTTTGTGTTAATACTTCACAACAAAATGGAGTGGCAGAGAGGAAAAACAGCCATTTACTAATCACAACCCGAGCTTTACTTTTTCAAGCAAACATACCAAAATCCTACTAGGGAGAAGCTGTTTTCATTGCCACACATATTATAAATAGGTTACCTTCAAAGGTTTTGAGATTTAAAACTCCTATGGAACTACTCTTACAATTTTATACCAACTTTAATACCACAAACAACCTTATGCTTAAGATATTTGATTGTACATCATTTGTTTATGTTCACAGTCATAATTGGTGGAAGTTGGATCTTAGGGCAATTAAGTGCATTTTTGTGGGGGTATTCATCAACTCAAAAAGGATACAAGTGCTATCATCCTCCTACCGAAAATTTTATGTGTCTATAGATGTCACTTTTGAAGAAAGTAAACCATTTTTTACTCAATCTTATCTTTAGGGGGAGACTTCATTCATGGAAAAGAAGGATAAAAACTTCTTTTTGCTTGATTTGTCCACCTCTTCAACATTTTCATCCATTAATTCTTCTAAGTCTAAACCTGTTTCTTTTGAGTCCAAGTCAAACACTGAATTTGAGTCTGAATCCATACCAAACACAAAAGATGTGACAAAGGATAATATTGTTTTTGATTCTATGAATGAATTACAGGTGTGCTCAAGAAGGAAAAGTCCAGATCTTGAACCAATGCAAGTCCAAAACCTAATCCTAACTTTGGAAATGAGGCAACTACAGTTTTTGACTTTGTTTCTCAAAATGAGCATGAATCTCCTAAGATTATAACTAGTGATTATGATTTGCCGATTACCATTAGGAAAGGAACCAGAGAATGTACTAAGCATCCACTATACCCAATCTTTAATTTTGTGTCATTTGAAAAATTCTCACCATCCCACAAAAATTTCCTTGTGAGCTTAAATACTATTTTTATTCCAACTACATTATCTGAGGCATTATCCAATGAGAAATGGAGGCAAGCCATGAAAATAAAAATGGAGGCCTTAAAGAAAAATAAGACATGGGAACTAGTAGAGTTGCCTAAAGGAAAAAATTCAATTCAGTGTAAATGGGTTTTCATTGTAAAATACAAGGCTGATGGTATTGTTGAAAGGTATAAAGCCAGGTTGGTGGCTAAGGGCTATACTCAAACTTATGGAGTGGATTATCAGGAAACTTTTGCTCCATTTGCCAAGATGAATAAAGATAGAATTTTGTTATCATTGGCTGTAAATTACAATTGGCAGCTTCAACAATTTGATGTTAAGAATGCTTTTCTACATGGTGATTTGGGAGAAAAAACATATATGAAGGTTCCCCCGGGATTTGGAGATCATCTAGAAGCAAACCAAGTATGCAAGCTGAAAAAAGCTTTATATGACCTTAAGCAGTCTCCTAAGGCTTGGTTTAGGAGATTTGCCAAAGTGATGCTCATTGTGGGATATAAACAGAGTAAAAGGGATTACACATTGTTTATCAAGCACTCTAATTCAAGAAGACTCACTGTTCTATTAGTGTATGTTGATGATATAATTGTAATCGGAGATGATGACAAACATAGAGAATCTCTAAAACAGTATTTGGCTAGAGAATTTAAGATAAAAGAGCTAGGAAAGTTGAAGTGCTTCCTAGGAATTGAAGTGATTCACTCACGGCATGGTATTTTCATCTCACAATAGAAATATGTGATGGATCTTTTGAAGAAAACTGGGAAGTTTACATGCAAACTTGCAAATACCCCTATAGATCCTAATCATAAACTTGGAGAAGCTAATAAAGATACTGCTGTAGATAGAGAGATGTACTAGAGATTAATTGGAAGACTCATTTATCTCTCACATACTAGACCTGATATAGCATATGTTATGAGTGTGATAAGTCAATTTATGCATAGTCCTAAAGAAGTGCACCTACAGGCTATCTACCGTGTATTGCACTATTTGAAGGCCAATCCTAGGAGAGGTATCTTATTCAAAAGAAATTCGAGACTGATTTTAGAGGCATATACAGAGGCGGATTACGTAGGTTCAGTAACTAATAGAAGATCCACTTTAGGTTACTGCACTTTCCTACGTGGTAATCTTGTGACTTAGAGGAGTAAAAAAATAAAACGTGGTGGCAAGATCAAGTGCTAAAGCAGAGTTCAGAGCAATGGCTCAAGGAATTTGTGAACTACTATGGTTAAAGGTTATCCTAGAAGACTTGAAAGATCAAGTGGGATGGACCAATGAGACTCTATAGTGATAACAAGTCTACAATAAGCGTTGCACACAATCCTGTGCAACATGAAAGAGCAAAACATATTGAAGTAGACCGGTATTTCATAAAGAAGAAACTAGACAGTGGGTTGATTTGTACACCATATGTATCAATCAAGGGTAAACTTGTAGATGTGTTGACTAAATGTCTTAATAGTGCATCATTTCAAGAAATTATTTCCAAGTTGGGAATGGAAAACACCTATTCACTAGCTTGAGGGAGAGTGTGGGAAAACACTTATTTACAGTTGGTTGTAATATTATAATCTGTATATTTATTTGTATCTCTAGAATTAAGTATTTGTATTCCTAGAATTAAGGATAGAAAATTAGGATAGACAATCCCTCAATTATAGGATCAATTTTAGGAAGATTTAGTTTTCTAGTTTACCCGCTAGTTAGTTGTATATAAACCTAAGGTGCTTATATAATTCTTTATGAGCAGTTTTTCAATGTACATTCAGTTTTACTCTTAGTTTTTCACATAATTTTATTTCTTAGTTTTTCCACACTTCCTTCTCTAAAAGTCATGTCCAAGGCTTCTCTAAAAACAATTTTATCCACCTTATTACTTAGTGTGTCTCTTCATATAGTGGTTTCAAAACTTGTAACTCATGAACCATTTGAGACTAAATGAACTCCTAGGATATTGCCACCCATCCTAATCCAATCAATTTGGGTAAAGTTTCAGAATTGCAATAAACCTCGATTTTCCATGGGATTTAGAGTATGAACTGACAACACTATTCTCCTACTAGATTGATGAAGGAGGTAAACTGCTAAACTATAAGAATTGATAGATTAGTAAAATGAAAGTCTCCTGCTAACAGTTGCCAACCATTTATTTGAATTCACCAAGCACTATTTTTCTTGAAAAATAGAAGCTATTAGGCATCATTCTTAAAAATAAATACATAAGTGAAAAAGAAATCATGAAGGAAAATAATATTCTATATAACTTTGGGAGAGCGGTAGTTGAACCTACCAGCAACAGAACACTAAATGTTGCTTGGCCTCTGGAAATGCACGTGTCGATCTCATTTTGCATGTCTGGGTCTGCAAAGTGGCTGATCAGAAATCTATGGAAATAATAGAAAGATGCCAAATAAAACAAAAGAATATGTGATGGATAAATGCATCAAAATTTATGTGTATACACAATATTCACAACTGTTCAAACAAAACATTCTTCTGATGTGTATACAGGAATCATAAACAGAATCTTTCATTACTAATTTAGGAAATGAAGCCAAGTAATATTTTGTAGAAGTTGAATAACATTAGGTTAATTATTAAGCAACAAAAAGACAATGGTCTAACAAAAACTACGTCGAAATTCAAGACATAATAGCATCACGGGATTTGAAAGGAATTTATCCAATATATAGTAGTGAAATCTTGATCATTGGGAAGACCACAGAATATGTATGTAAATCATATTTTTAAAGTAGCAAAGACTTGTAATGCAGAAAATCAAGCACATGGAAACAAAATTATGATCCCTTATTATTTATACAGTTGACTTAAGGCTTGACAAACAATGCAAACAGATAAATTTACCACACATAAAAATGGAAACTGAAATGAAATACATTAAGTATTATTCTAGTTAAGGAAATTTCAGTGACCATAAGGTCTAACAACGCAGCCTCACATGCACTTACCACATTTTATTTTGTTCTGATCATTAGCAAAAAGCCTCACTAGTTCCCCCTGACAACAGTAAACAATTTGGGAAAAGCAGAATCAGAGAGACAATATTCTTCTCAACTAAAAATTGTGAAAAGGTTTAGTGAAAGTTCCAGGAGAAGTTTATGCATTATAAAAGGAATAATCTTTTTGCAGTGAAAAGGAACCTTATTTAAAAGGGATGTAAAAATGCTGCCACAATAAGCACACATTATCTAACATCATGCTGGAGAAGTTCAAAATGACATGTAGTATACTGCTCAAGTCTATATGTAATGCATGACCAGTATGCTAAAAGCTATCTCTTAGACACTGTACGAATGCCATGTTCGGTTTCAGATTTTGGTGTCCTTCCGAAAAATAAATCAGATTCTATCTCATTAAATTTCCTGATTCAATTTAAAACAGTGTCCATGGGCTTTTGCTGCCAAGGAACTGACTGGAATGAAAATAAAAAAAATCATTGTAACATATACGTACCTGATGGCCCTGGTCATCCATTGGTATGCATTCAACAGCAATCAGTTTATCAACATCATCAGCTGTGACAACATATTCTGGATTTGTAGCTCCTGGAGAAATTTTTTTACCAAAAAAAGTAAGGTACACAAAATAACTACACAAAGAACACCAAAAGGTCACATTCATTCCATGCTTACCCTCAATGTACTGCCTAGTGCCATCCTGAAGATGACGAACCCACTGCAGTGCAAACAACATCGTTAAAATATGAAAGATTAATCCTTACATATAAAAGGGAAACTTCACAAATGAAAATTTTCATGTGAATAAAATCCAAGAAATTCCACCTGAAACATACAAAGTGTTGTCCCTCGTACAGGAAATCCACAACCTAGAAGCTTTTCTCCTGGTGTGGCATCACCAATTATCTGAAACCCCTCAATGCCAGGCCCTTCTGAATTCAAATAAGTTATATTAGATGCTATTAAAGATCATAATTTTATTCCACAGATCAAATGTCAATCACCTTCAGAAGCATCAGAGGCCATCTCATCACGCTGATACAAGACATTGTTGGTCATATCCTCAGCTCCAATTCTTACAAAACTTTTATCAAATGCACTATCAGGATTAGGGTCAGCAACTCCTCTGTAAGAATATGATTAATAGATAAGTACGATGTAAAACCATAGTAAAAATAATTCTAATTATTATCATTGGCACTGAATGAAAAAGTCACGCTGTATTACACATGCCAACTTCCTTTGATAACAAATAAAACAAAATCAAAATAAAAGAAAGTTATACTACCTTTGAATAAGGAAGAAAATTTGACATGTGGGATATATTTCCAATTGCAGTAAAATTTCAAGATTGATTTGGTACAGCAATATCAATGATGTTCATGTCAGGGCATATTAATGACAAAACACAAAGGAGACAGGGTCATAAACATAAAAATGCAGTTTACAAAGGATGCAATTTAACTCACCAAAGCTATGTGCTCAAATCAGACGTGTCAAAAAACAAGTGAAAATATGTGCACTACAGGATCAATTAAGCCCTAGATAATTTAATCCCACATCTGGCATATCTCCATCCTTCATCAAAGGGGAGTTCTGGAGAAAAGTTACTCATAATTATCATATATAACCAGTTCTAATAATAGGGAAAATTATTGGATAATTTCTCTTGCAATTTACAAACCATGCGGCAAGGAAAAATGGTGTAGAATTGCACCCAAAAGAAAAGGCTACATATATGTTTCATCACATCTCAAGAGTCAACAAAGAATTCCAGTTAATAATGTGACCAAGAAAAGCCAAATGGCTACAAGAAAACTAGGTAGTGTGACCTATCAGAATTGAATAAGAACCCCTGTGAATTGCCATTGCTTAATCGTTGTTGCCCCTGATCATTGAAGATTAAATTTTTTGCAGTGTGATCATTATCATGCATGTATCTCAGCATATTCCCAGGTGGTAAAAGATGCTGCTCATCTGTATAGTGATTATTGGGAGAAAAGCCATGACTAGCCTGAGAGAGAGAGAAAATAAAAGGACTACTTAATACAAAATGAAAAGGAATGCAATAGAAAGAGAATACAAGTTGATATGACAAAGAAGCAACAGGAAAAGATGGTAATCTAGTAGATTACATGCAAATAGTACCATGGATCCATGAGGATTTTGATTTTTCAAAATGCCAAAAATAAGGCTATCTTTTTCGTGAGATCTGCCTGCAGCATGAGATCCCACAATACCTGTCAACTCTCTAATTCTATCCTGTGATATATGTAAATCAATGAGTCTATCTGTTCTCCCAAATAATGACATCAATAATAATCCTAAAGGTAAACTCACTGCAGAAAGAAAAACCTTGATCTCATAAGTTGCCTAAATATGTAATGCCTCATTAAAGCAAAATCTTGATGCAAGAAACACAAAATCAGGTAAAGAGTTGATACTTTCATACAAACATACTTCTCCAAATAGCCACATCGACAATCCATGCACCTATGTTTACACACACATGCATGCAAAGCAGGTAGCAATATTGAAACTTCATTGGTTACACAGAAGAGAATCCTTTAATCCTAGTAAGTAACTTTCAAGTCATTTCAAGAAGATAGTCACTAATTCTGCCAATTCCTTGGTTTTCTATGTACCAATACACCTATCCATTTTCATGCATAATTAAATAAATGGATTTATTTTTAAAGTGAACTCGCATTTAGCTCCAGTGAGGCCAAGTAGAAGTTGACGTTACATATTTTAATTGTGACAGATCAACACAAAGAGCTTCACTATTGTCAAACAAAACTTGAATTTCCTTGTTCTAGTTATTTCATATTTTAGATTCTTAAGAAAATAAAAAAATATTATTGCAAGAAGAAATACATAATCTTCACTGTGTCTTTCAAAGAGAATATTCTTCAAACTTGAGGAAACCCATTATGCATCAAATGCCTTATGTTCTCCTTAGCATGTATTACTTTGGCACAAAATACAAATCATTTTTAGTTCTTAAAAACAAACTATTTGAGAAGGCTTAGTTATCCTAACTACTTTTATACCAGCCTTTAAAATTTGAAATTGGAGGAGTTAACATTTCAAAGTATGATCCCAATAGTATGATTTCATCTAATAAAACATTATTCTTATGTTGTACCACAGGCACAGGCACAGATGGGGAACATATATAGTTAATGAATACATTTACAAGTGAAAGTTGGCATCCAACTACAACTGGAATTCTATCCATCTAAATAGATAACAGTATAAGACTACAGCCACAAGTAAGATCAATGGTTTATCACCCACAATGCTAAGATTTGTCTGCCCCAGACCCTTTTTTAGTTTCTTTGAGGCAATTGCTATTTTCTAGATGAAGTTTCCCTTCTCTAGATGTAGGGTATAAGAATAAATATCTAGGAGTTACAAATAATAAATGATACAGGCAACAGAGGATGGTACACTTACATGTGACGTTCTGATCTTCCACTGTAACTGATCATGTAGGTGCTGCAAATATATAAAAGATGGTAAGTTTTGATTTGTCAAAACCATTTACTTACTCGAAATAGAGTACACAAGCTGCCAAATAAAGCAGGTCTTACAGAACTAAGAGAGTCCTCAGTGGAAAAATTAAAAAATAGTAGTTGTGTATAAATTACACTTTGAGAGGAAAGGAACAACATTGGCCCATGAGCAAAAGGTAACAACTATAGTCCTGATAACATGGTCATATGGATGTAAAGAATACATAATGCCCTTCAAAGCCTTATTTTATGAAACTTCATTGTATTCATATGCCCAATTCCTATAACTCAGATATCTTTCAAAGCTAACTCTTCAATATAAACACTCACAGATATGTGAACTGTCCATATGATTTCAAAAGGTCTTATGTTCGTGTTCTAAATAAGCCTATAGTAACATTGAAGCTGAATATGTTGTAAATAGGGTGCCAGGTGGTTTTATTGTTTACATCCTTGTATTACAATGCAATGCAATCAGACAATTGCTTGCTTAACCGATACTTACCCATTAGATCATAAAAAAATACACGATATATAGAAGGTAAATTGATGACACTAGCCAACGGATGTTTTTAAAATACAATAACCACAGAAGGCCATACCTCCAGCAGAAATCATATGAGAACCCAGGTGAGATGATCAATGGTAAGCACCAGCCAGTAAAAAGTTTTTAATTATTCAGTAGATGGGCAAATTCCTGTGGCCTGTGTATTGGTGTAATAGCTTCTCCTTATTTGCTTACGTGTTTTAACTTTTAGAATTTAGAGATAAGTCAAACAGAATGTACAATGTTGAGAACTGGATGGTACAATTTTTTTAATCATTCAGTAGATGGAGAAAGCAGCGTGGCCTGTGCATAAGCACCATCTTGTCCTCTGATGGGGATAAGTCAAACAGAATGTTAACAAGAATTGGGCGCAGGCCCAAATTGATACCCCATATGGCCATATCAGTATTATTGCAACTCACTGACCACCCTCCCCCTACCCAGTTGTCAAACAAATAGAACCTGCATGTTATCAAGTTCATACCTTCACACTGCTTGTAATGGTAGATGCATTTACAGCGTGAGGCCAAAGACCATATTCAGCCAACAGCCCGAGCAAGGATGACATGAAGATATATCTCTCATCCTCCACAGCCTGAGAAAAGCAATGCCCTTAACAACTTCCTTTAATAAGCAAAGGGAGAAAGAAAGTAGAACTTGAAGGCGAGCAAGGAACAGTAAAGAAAAGAGACAACCACACAAAAACATACTAAATAGTTAAACTTATAACTTGACACTCAGAAATTTTGACAAAATGGATTGATATCTGGTGTTTTCCAAGATATCCTAAGCGCATACAGGCTTAAAACATTTTACCGATTTAAGAGAACAGATATAAAATCACCCTGCTGACTTCAAGTCAAATTGGACCATTGTCCAATATATTCAAGTTAGAAGAATCTATGATGTTGTCCAATCTCTATAAGACATTATATTTTCCTTCTCTAAGCTTTTAGAGTTACTAGCTCTCATATCAGTATTTATATATTAGCTATTGTTAGGATTTCTTAATCAAGAGGTAAATTTTGATTTCATTGATTTATCATCGCTAATAGAATGGGTCCTTAAGCCCAGTCACAAGTTAAACACCAAATGGTACCAAGCATATTTAGTTCATTACATTCTAACTGTAAACTATAAATTATAATATGAGTAGGAAGTTTTTGAGGCTTCATTAGTAATGTCCATAAGCTTTTACTGATTTGGGCAAATATGTCAAATAGTATGAAGGGAAAATTTTTCAGAAATACACACTATGTTTCACCTTTAGATCATGGGTCAGCTTTAAATTTTCTTCAAGGTCACCTTTTCTGAGAGCCAATTCATTTGAGGCAGAAGTGATTGATTCTTTTTGCTTCTCATCAATTGCCTGTCACTCAAAATGATGTTACATCAGTTCATGCAATAAATGACTGCACTTGTCAATCCATTCTAATAACACAAAGAACCAATGCAGAGAAACTATGGAGTCCATAACGAACCATCCGTAAGTCAGAGAATTTCCTCTCCAGTGCACATTTCTCATTCAGCAGTTGTAATTCCTGAGACCATACAGATCAATATGTTTCTTTCTATGTCAATAAAAAATGTTAGAGGAAAAATGACTACAAAATTAGTTAGAAGCATTTTTCTTTCAAAAGGAAATGGAAATTAATCAACAAGAAAGCAATGGCCCTTAGAAATGTTAAACCTTCACACATGCAACGGCAATTTGTTCACGAAGATGCTGAATCTCCTCTTTCTGTGCACTAGCTCGCAAAGAAAGTTCCTAATTCATAAAATTTATGTGAGGGAACCACAAAAAGCCTCATCATGAGTGTAGAATCCACCATTCAAATGTTCAAGAAGTTCTAGTACCTTAGCCTCTGAATCTTGAAAATCAAAATTTCTGTCTTCTTTTAATTTACTTGGAGCAAGACGTGTTTCAGAGCTATGCCTGCTTAACAAGGCAATATTTACTTGAAACTAGTAACAGATCTATAATACTTTAGATAGAACGCTTGTAGAAGATTGTTAAGTGGAGCAATTTGGACCTGGTTGGGGAACTACCTTTTTAAAAAATCAGAGCTCTGTGCTTGAACCCCATCACTGTTAACCCCATGTGTGGAATGCTCACTAGAAGATATCACATTGTCAGTCTAGGTCCTCTTCAAGACAGCCTCTGATTGCACAAGATTTAATATTTTCCATTATCACTAACAAAATCTTGCACTGTACCTCATTTTATTTTCCTGGTCCATATTTCATTGTCCAGAAAGTAACAAGATTTTTGCATGATAAGAATACCACTTCCAGAGCTGCAAGACAATTAACATGAAATAAAAATATAGTCAAAGTTGAACCCCAGGTATGGTTATGGGGATACAATTCTTGTATGAGGAGATCAAAGTCATAAAACATCCAGATCCAGTGCACAGAAAAAAAAAAAACGATACTTAACCATATAACAATTTTCTGCCCTTTTTATTTCTTTTCTTATCAGGAGTTCATTCAATAATTTCAATAGTTTCTAGGAAAAAGGAATTATTTATGAAAAACCATTCAATATGCAAAACTAGGAAGGATCTTGGATTAGTAAGGCCTATAAATGATCATCTTACAAGATGAATTACATGAATTACAAAAGAGCCCATTAAACAGGACCATTCCAATTTCTGGACACCACATTGAACTAGTTGACTGTAGCCTGTAGAACAAACAATCACACTCTTCGAAAGGGAAACAAATTAATATCATTGTCAACCCAATGGCAACAAAACTCAAAATAATCCATTAGCACCAAAAGATGAGCTAACTGGACCATGAGTTCCAAAATACAACACAAAACTTTCAAGTGAGAAGAATTTGCCCCGTTGCTATGACTAGAGTGGTAAAGCGGTGGCAACCAATGGTGCCAAGTGTGTAGAGTCAAATCTCACAAACAGAAAACAGAGAAAACCAAAAAGAAAATAATGAAAAAGTTAAAAGGGCATTTGGTATCCTAATTCCCAGCCCTTAGAATTTAGATTATATTGCAATTACATTAAATTGCTCATAACCCAAGAATCCAGTTTTGAATGTAGGATGCTTAAATGAGAAGCCACCTTATTTCTCAAACAGCCAAAATCTTATTAGTCTATTCTCCAGTCCATTTACTTGTTGTTTAATACTTAGACTAACATAATGCGAAACGACTATGGATACAAATCTGTTATTGTCTAATTCTCGGTTTGGAAAAGAAAGGCCAATAAAAGAAGGCAAAAAAGGGATACTACTATTCTTTTTCCCTATTCCAAGCATCTCCTTCCAAATTCAATTTCCTAACAATAATTTCATTTCAAACTATACAAGAAAGTTTGCATACTCCTTTCCTATTTCCATCCACACCAGACACCAAACAGAGTGCATGACTGAAGATTTAAAACCAAGTATTAATAGGAAATATTGAATCCAAAACAGCAGTTAATACAATATCAAAGAATTGGCACACCCCCAAAGAAAAAAAAAGAAAAGGAAAAAGAAAACTTAATTTGCCCTTAATTTCTTCAGAAAATATCAAAATCAAACTTCATTAACATGTTCTAACTCAAACTATTAGCCTTAAACTATTCCTAGATGAACCTTTTAAGTAAAGCTCCGTTTCGCAACGTAGAAAAATCAAAGCAAATAAAAAGAAAAGATTCATATAGCCTTACAAGAATCATTAAGAATTAAAGTTTTCTAATAATCTTGGATAAAAAAAGAATTTCCAAAAATTAAAGGAAAAAAAAAAAAAGAAAAGTTTCTTTAAATTACCTGCGTTTGGATAAAAATTTGGTATGAGTTTGCCGGAATTAGAAAGATGAAAGAAAGTCTGGGGTTTTATAGGGGACGTGAAATTTTAATTTTAAAAAATGGGAAAAAAAAAAGGGAAAAAAGAAATATGGGTGGTCTGATTTTGATGTAATTCTAGATGGAATAAGAATTTGTTGTACTGGTTAATTAAGTCAACCGGTGGTCGTTGGACTATTCGTATTCGTTGGCTTTCTGTTTTGGTGATCAGACTATGAAAATGAGAGCTTAGATTTTTTAATTACAAAATGGGGCCGAGCAAGGTCGTTCAATGGAGGAAATTAATAAACTATACTAGTAATTATAAAATAACCAAATTATGGTAAGCCCACGTGAAAGAAAAAAAATTTAAAAAAAATGTGAGAATAAATAAGTGAAGAAAAAAAGTTAGGTAATTATAAAAATATTGGATATTTTTTCAATCAAATATTGAAAATTTTAAAAAAATAATTAATTAAAAAATATTTAAATTTATATATTAATGATATTTATAACTTTTATTTTATATATTTGTTATGATTTAATTTGAGTTTTATGTTAATTTTAAAATGAAAATAGAAAATAAAAAAATTAATTTGAAACCTTTAAAAAATTTAGAGGCGAAACACTTACAGTTGACATTAAGCTTTCTGCATGATGAATCTGAATTCAATGTCTAACTTTTAAGTTGGATTATAATATATTACAATAGTAAATTATTAAATAATAAGTATGCTTAATTAAATTTTTTTTTTTACAAAAATTTTAGTTAAATTCTGTGTCATCGCTACTAATTTAAATTTGAGTCCAATGCACGAATAAAAATTTAGTTATAAATTAAAATTTTTATTAGTTATTTTATTTATACTCTTATTTATAAAATTCTTGATTAAATTTTTGTTCTAACGATAAAAAAGCGCAAAAATTAAATAAAATTATATATTAAAAAAATAGATATATTTATATCCTTCATTATTTTATACAAATATATTTTTTAAAAATTTATAAAAATAATCCACTTCTTTTCTATTTATAATTTTTTTACTGATGTGTCAAATTTTAGTAAATAAAAGAGGACAGTTTTATTTGTCGGTAAAAAAATAAAAATGTAAAATGAAAAAGAAGAGGGTGAATTTGATAATTCACAAAACATTATCACTCACTCAATAAATAAGTAATAATATCACTAAATATAAAAAAAAACCCATTCAACTGCGATAGAATTTTCCGGTCAAACTCCTTTCTTCCCTTCACTAGACTTACCCGCTAAATCCCTACTCTTCCTCCGATTAGATCAATGGAAATAAATAAGGGACCTCCAATTCGACCGGAACGAGTCGCGGTCCCGGCGATGTGGAAAGCGGACGATTCTCATCACTAAGACAAAAATGAAAAAAGAGAAAATGTCGCAACAGCAAATGAACAATAACAATAGCAACAGTGGCAATATTCCGGTGAGCGAGAGGTATTGGACTTTAGTGGATAAAGCTGATAAAAAGTTTTCTAAGATCAGAAACTTGCCTTACTATGAGCGCAACAGGTACACTATTCTTTTTCATCATTTTCTTGTAAATTATTATTTGGAGTTTTTAATTTCTTTGATGTATTTTTAAGTGTTAATTAGTGATAACTTAATAATAAATCAATGAAAATTTAATAGTAAATTAACGATAATTTACTAATAAATTAATTTTAGCTTAATAATAATTAATTGATAGTAATAAATCATAAATAATTTAGTAATAAATTAATAATAATTTAATAATAAATAATTGATAATTTAATAATTAGTAATTGAAACTTTAAAAGCAAATCAATATAATTTTATCATAAATCATCGATAACTTAATAATTAATCACTAATAACTTAATAATAAATCATGCATAATTTAATTTAAGTCAATAATATGTTGTTAGTGAATCATAGATTATTTAGTAATAAATCAGTAATAATTTTATAGTAAATAATTGAAAATTAAGTAGTAAATCAATGAATAATATAGTAGTACATATATAAAAATATAATAGTAATCATTAATAATTTAATAGTAAATTGATAACTTAGTAAAAAAATCACTAATAATGTAATAGGGAATTATTAATAACTTAATTATAAATAAGTGATAATTTAATAATAAATTAGTTAATCATTGATAACTTTTTATTAAATCATCGATAAATTAGTAATAAATCAATTATAAATTTATAATAAATTGTCAATAACTTAGTGGTAAATCACCATTAATTTAATATATAGAAATCATTCATAACTTAATGTCAAATCATTAATAAATTAATAATAAATTATTGATAATTTAGTAACAAATTATTAATATCTTAATAATAAATCATTAATAACTTAATTATCAATTAATGATAACTTTTTTTTTTATATATGAAGTTGTCAGGAGTTAAACCCTGGTTACTAGCAAAAATGAAGTCAAAACATTTATTTTGGGGTTAGGATAGACCTAACATGAACTTATTTAATAAAAATTTGGTAAAAAATTTTTAAATTTCAATAGAACAATAATATAGTTATCTCATATATTATAATAGACGTTTTAAATTTCATGTTTTATTAATTGTAAATGTATAACAACATATTAGTAAATCAATGATAGTTAATAAGAAACAAGTAATAACTTAATAATTAACGATTGATAACTATAATAAATTAAGGATAATTAATAGAATTAGTGATAAACTTAATCGTAAATCAATTTAATTTAATAGTAATTAATTAATAAACTTAGTAATAAATTATAAATATTATAGTAGTAAATCAATTGATAATTAGTAATTAATTATGACAAATTTAAAAGTAAATTAGTATACTTAGCAGTAGTAAATTATCAATAACTTAATAATTAATCACTGATAACTTAATAATAAATTATGATAATTTAATATAAGTTAGTGATAACTTGATAATGAATTATAGTTAATTTAGTAATAAATATGTGATGATTTCGTAGTATAATAAAAAAAAAACTAAGTAGTAAATTAATGATAATATAGTAGTAAATGAATAATAACATAATAGTAAATCATTGATAATTTATATGTAAATTATTTATAATTTAATAGTAAATCAGGAAAAACTTAATTGCAAATGAATGATAATTTAATTGTAAATAAGTGATAATTTTGTCGTAAATGAGTTAATCATTGACAATTTTAAAGTAAATTATCAATGAATTAATAATAAATCAATTATAACTTTATGATAAATCATTAGTAACTTAGTAGTGAATCATCAATAATTTATTAATATATCATTCATAATTTACTAGTAAATTTTTTTTATAAATTAGTAGTACTTGATTGCTAATTTAATAGTAAACATTGATAATTTAGTAATATATAATTAATAGCTTAGTAGTAAATTATTGATAAAATATCATTAAATGAATGATAATTTAATTGTCAATTATTAATAAATTTTTTATACTTGAAGTTGTTAGGAACTAAACATTGATTACTAGCAAAATGATATTACAAATTTCATCTTGGGAGGTCAGGATAAATCTACTACGAATCCAAAAATAAAAAAATTTAGTGAAAAAAATTCTAAATTTAAATGAAATAACAATATTATTATATAAAAAAAATTATCTTATACTAGAAATGAACCCTTACTTTCTTGTAGGAATCCATTGTTAAATATGTGATGTCACAAATTTTATTAATAATTACCAAAAGTGCGTAATAAGTTAGCATAAGATTACTAAAATTATATCAAGAGGAAGAGGTTACCAAAATTTTATAAAAAAAATTATCAAAATTGTATCAATGATTATCAAAATATATTATAAGTTATCAAAGAAATATCGAAGGTTATTAAAATTATATCGAATGTCACTAAAATTTTATCAAAGGTTATTGAAATCAAAATTATATCAAAAGTTGTTAAATTGACTTATAATATAAAAAATACAAATTAAATTATTAGTATTTATCATTATTATCAATAGTATATAAAAAGTTATCAAATTTTACTTATATTATACCAAAATTAAAATTAAATTGTTAGTATTTATTATCATCATAATATCAAAAAATTTATTTATTAGGATAAATTTTTAAAAATAAAAATTACATTAGCGTCATGCTCGTGCTTATGACTAATATATATATAATAGAAAAGCAATAAGTACAGACGTGGCCATTTTTAAGGAAAACACAAAGCAATAAGTACTTTCTGAAAGAACTTGTAATAGAAAAGCAGAGTTCTTCCCTGCAGTGGTCATTTTTATATTATCGGATTCTGAGGTTTGTTAAATGGATGTAAGTTTTGTAGTAAAAGCATGCAAAGTGAGCGAAAAAGTTTCTGATTTTAAGCATAAAATAAGAGCAACAGGAGAACAGACACGGCCACAAGAGCATATTCCACGGTAAAATTCAGAAAGCCAGAAAACCATGTATTTGGCATTGTGGCTTACTGAAAATCCTAATGAAAATGAAAA